TCTCTCTCTCTCTCTCTCTCTCTCTCTCTCTCTCTCTCTCATTCTCCTGCCTTACTGCATTGCCCATTTTGTGGTGGCTTAATAGAGCTTTTATCAGCCAATTGTGCCAGCAGGTCAGCTGAGAAGAATAACATCCTTTCTATTAGCTTCTTCTACAGAATCTTTTGCTCAATTGCTATTGCTGTAAAGGTGCTTAACACTGGCATTGTTAACTGAAACAACATATATGCTGTCTGAACGTGGAATAGTTTGTTTAGCTTATTATATAGCTTAGATAATTATTATTTGGTTGTTCCTCCTCTTTTATTTTTTCCTCCAAGCAAACTACATATTGGGCAATTGGTCTCTAAATAAAACAACTCAATTAGCTTCCTAAATAGCTTATTTTCCAAGAAGGACTTTGTTGTGTAGTTGGCTCTTGATTTACTTTTCAATGATCAGCCACAGGCCCTGTTATGCCACCATCAAGTTTTAGTTTTCAATCAGTCTGCAAATTACAGACGAGAGGGCGCAGCTGCTTCTAGTAGCTCCTTACTGGCCCAGACGGCTGTGGTTTGCAGACCTCCGCAGTCTATCCATATCAACACCATGGAGAATTCCGCCAGACAGGGTCTTGCTAACCCAGGGACCCCTTCAACATCCGGACCTTCAATGGTTGCACCTGACCGTCTGGAGGTTGAGCGGAGTCGTCTGAAGAGCGAAACGTTTTCCAACAGAGTTATTGCCACCATCCAAGCCGCCAGACACCCCTCAACAACTCGCATTTACAATGCCACATGGTCCAGTTTCTGCAAATGGTGTACCAAGTCTCAAATTGATCCCATCTCTCCATCTGTGGCTCAAATCCTAGAGTTCTTGCAAGAGGGATTTGACAAGGGATTATCACCTAATACGTTGAAAAGACAGGTGCCGGCCTTGGCATCAGTTGTCACTTGTGAAGGTCGACTATCTCTTTCCCATCATCCATGCATACGGAGTTTCCTTTGAGGAGCCACAGATTTACGCCCTCCAGCGGTACACCGTTATCCCACCTGGGACCTTAACAAGGTCCTCGTCGCACTCACTAAGGGCCCTTTCGAACCCTTGAAATCATCAAGTCTCCAATTTCTGACGTATAAAGTAGTTTTCCTTGTAGCGATCACTTCTTCTCGTCGTATTTTGGAACTTGCAGCTTTGTCTATCAGACAAGATCTTTGTGTTTTCCATTCTGACCGGGTGGTCCTTCGTCCTGATCCTACGTTTATTCCCAAAATTAACTCGGTTTTTCATAAGGCACAAGAGCTGATACTTCCTAATTTTTGTCCCAGACCATCCCAAGGGTTGGAACTACAATGGCATAGGCTTGATGTGAGGCGAGCATTGCGAATATATATTAACCGCACAGCAACTTTCAGAAAAACGGAAGCCTTATTTGTGTCGTTTCAGCCCAACACTCAGGGATGCAAGGTCTCATCTTCTACAATAGGCCGTTGGCTATGGGCCGCGATAGCGAAAACATATCAGACTCAATCACTGCAGGTGCCCAGGTGCATAACAGCTCATTCAACAAGGAGCGTCGCAACATCAGCAGCGTGGGCCACACAGGCACCAATAACTGAAATTTGTTGAGCCGCAACCTGGGCCTCTCCATTGCCATTCATTAGGCATTATCAAATAGATGTGTTTGCATCTGCTGAGGCCTCCTTTGGCAGAAGAGTTCTGCAACGGGTCCACAGGGATCAGGAGGGGTTTCCAGGCCAGACGGAGTCCCTCCCGTAGGACAGGCCAAGCTTTGGTATGTCCCACTACTGGATGCTCTGAACAGCTCATGGGAGAAAGGGCGTTGGTACTTACCTGACATGCCCGTTCTCTTTGAGCTGTGAAGAGCATCCAGCCCCACCCTTTTCCTGTATGGTGGGGTCCTGTTTCGGCCAACGAATTTGTTAGGGCATTGAGGATGAGGGCGTTTATTTATCTCATCTTCGCCAAAACTGGGGAACGCTGGGGAGGAGTCCCGTGGAGGAGGAGGAGGAGCGTTCCACAAATTAAGCCCAGCCTAGACATGCAGAGACTGAAGCACCTCCCACTCCTGGATGCTCTTCACAGCTCAAAGAGAACGGGCATGTCTGGTAAGTACCAACGCCCTTTTTCTTTGCTGGCCTATAGGATTTCAATCTTGTGATGGACTGTGTATTGTCCTGGTGAATAAGGAGGGTCTTATTGTTCAACATCCTTGGCCATAGCTTGTTGTCTTTTAACGTGGGGCAGCATGAAATTGTTAAGTTCTGGTAACCAGTGCACAAGAGTGGGATGCAATGTGCCAGAGATGATACATATTGTCTGGCAGAATTGGAGATCGATCTTTTGGGTGTGCACACTGTTAAGCCACACACTGGCAGAATATTCAATTCTGGAATAAACCAAAGCCAAG